AGACCTCAACCAAAAGTGAGGTCAACAATTACTATGATGAAAAAAATAAAGTTACATAAATAAAAAATGCAACAATATATGACATGCACACACCACAACACCACACACAATCACACACACCACAAGTTACATAAATAAAAAATGCAACAATATATGACATGCACACACCACAACACCACACACAATCACACACACCACACACACACCACCGGACACCATCACACACACACCACAATAGCACATCCATATACAACTCCACAACACACACCACCACACCTCCCTAAACCCTCCATGCACCCAACTAACCACAATAGTGCATCCACACTACACATAACACCACACCTCCCCAAAACCTCCGCATACCAAACCAACCACAATTGCACATGCACACCACACACACAACCACACACACCACCACACCTCCCTTAAACCCTCCATAGACCAAATCAACCAACCTCCACGCCTTCACACACCCATACCTCCCTAAACCCTCCACACACCTCAACACAGCCAACCAACCAACTCCACACCTACACCCCCAACTCACTCCACAATAACACATGCACATACTACACCACCACACACCATCACACACACCACAATAACACATCCACATACAACATCATACATGCCACCACACACACCACGCACATCGCACACACCACCACACACCATCACACACTCCACAATAGCACATCCACAAACAACACCACCACACCTCACTAAACCCTCCACACATCCAACCAACCACAATAGCACATCCATGCCACACACACCACCACACCTCCTTATACCCTACAACCACCACACCTCCTTAAACCCTACACACACTCAACCAACCATAATATCACGTCCACACCACATATACCACGAAGCACACCACCATACATCCCTTAAACCCTCCACACACCCAAGAAACCAACCTCCACACCTTCACACACCCACACCTCCCTAAACCCTAGGCACACCTCCACACACCCAAACAACCAACCTCCACACCTCCACACCACTTCACAATAGCACATGCACACACCACACCATCACACACTCCACCACACTTCCCCACCACACCTTATGCCTTAAGGTTCTCAGCATATGCTCGACCATGCTTAATGAATGGCTTAAAAACAATTTATATCCTTTTTCTTTGCAATGCAAGCATTCTAACAATCTACAAATTTAGCTACTCATGGTTTCTTCCATTCATTTTAAGAATATTTTCAACTTCTCTTCTATTTTCATGATGTGAAGAAGGTAACTTTTGCAATTAAAAAAAAACAGTTTTGGGCAAATACATGTATATCACAACAAACCACCACACCACAACACCATGACACACCATAACACTTCATTCCAACTAAAAAAAACAAATCCAAAACTTGCTCTTCCACTCAAATTCTGAAACAGTAGCCGAAACCCTGCCACAACATAAACAAAACCATTCACATAAAAACCCCATCACAAAAACAACTACCCAAACACAAATCCAACACCCCTCCATATCAATAACAAAACCATTCAGAGATGCAGAATATCGTGACAAAAGCCGAAACCGATCCCCTATTAGCCCTCCTCTGCTTCTCAAGTTCTCACTTAAAACATCACAAGGTACCAACAAAAACATCAAAAAATGAAACATCAACAGCCATCAAGCGGGTTAGGGTAGAAACCAGAAACCATAAAATCTCAAAAAATGGGTGCTACTTAGAAAACACAAGTAATCCATCAAGCAAATTCACGAAGAAATTCTCTGTGCAAACCAATGTGACTAACAAAGCAAATCCACCAATAAAAGGTAAGGGATTAAGGATACAGGAGGAAGAAGCTGACGTCTGAAAACCCTCCTCACAGGCGTCAGGGAACAAAGTTAAAGAAGACACACAATTGCAGGACAATTAGGGCAGAAGGTGCGAAGAAAATGCGAGAGCTCCGCTGGAGGTTAGGACAGAAAACACGAAGCAGGGGTAGATCGATAAGCGAAACTAGGGCACCTGAGTGCACCTGAGTAAAAATAACGTGACACGATGAGGCTCAAACGCCCTAAGCATCCGCACCGCGGGAGAAACGCCACCCTACCCCTCTAACGAATCCTAAATTACTTAAAAATAAAATTCAGGCACCTAATTAACTATATCGAATGTTAAAAAATAATAAATCTAAAACACTTACATTAATTCAACCACCTTGCCCTTTATCCCGCACACCCCCAAACCAACTCATTTGCTCTTTTGTTTTCCTAATGGGAGAGTCTACGCCTCTCTGCAACTTTGTTAGGGTTAGAACTTCTAATTTCTTTTCGTTGATGTTGTAACGCGACCTCCCTGGTAAAGAATCAAAGAAGTACTCTTCTATCTTGTTTTTGAGCTGCTACTTATGAATTGTGACTAGCCTCTCTAAGCTTTCATATGTTCCTTCATTCTCTTGTTTCTATTACTATTACTTGTAAAATATATGATCCAGGTGTGTGAAGAGCATGCAAATGACTTCATTCACGATCTAAGGTTTTGTGTACCAAGATACCAACTATTTTAAGATTCGATTTAGCAAGCAACAAATCATATATTTGAGCTTTATCGAATAAAATGAGTCATTTTAACTATTTTAATTCCAATATAAACATTAGTGAACAAATATAAATATTGGCTAAATTTAAAAATATTTATTTTCAAATGAGCCAAATATTTAAACAAAAAAAAAAGATTTATCTTGATTATATTTGACTCATTTACATCCCCTATTCCAGTTGCAACACGAATCCACCATCAAAACAATGGCAGCTCCTGTTGCAGCGTTCCGCGAACACTGTTTAATAAAAAAATGTGATTTTTTATCCGACGCCAAGAGCCCAACTTCCGCTTGATCAAACGGATAAAATCCCAAGGGTTTCACGCTGACAAATTTTTAAGTTTTTTACGCGGAGCAGCGCATCAGACTGCATTTAGGTCATCTTCTCCCATTTCCCTCCTCGAAGAGAAGCAAGTTCGAACGAAAGTTTTGACCTTCTGTTATTGCTACTCCAAACATGCATCGCGCTGTCGTTTCCAACCTCAGAGCTCTCAAGGCTAGCTATCTCGAAACCCTAGCACTGAATTCATCTGCCTTCTTCTCTCCATTTCTTTTATAGATCCATCCTTGGAGTTTTTAATGCACTTTTTAAGATATATGTTTTGTTTTTAGATTGCTTTGTACTGGTCGCTCATATCGTTTGAAAATGATGTATTCTTTCTCTGATTTGCTTATGTTGTTCTCACTGATGTAGCTTTTCTATGCAGCTGATATTTTTCTTAGTCATTATTTCCCATTTGTTCCAATTGAGTGTTTTAGAGATTAGCCAGAACAAAGCTTACAAGCTAAACATTGCATGGAGAATTGCATCCAACAAAACTAGATTTTTAACTAGTAGAGTCATTGAAGTAGTCATTGGAGTTATTCATGGCCATATAAATATTAGAATATGTGTCTAACTTTTATATTATGAATTTATGTCAGATTTATTTGAATTATTTATGTCCATATAAGTATTAGAGCATGTATGAGGATATTTTTTTATGGGCATTTACATACATACCACCCAATTCCTATGAATTTACATATCTAACATCTAAAATTTACTTTTACATTTAGTTATGCCACCCAAATATTTTATTTTACATAAAAATGCCACCATTTTAACTTTAAAAGGTAAAATACACCTTTTCATGCATGGATATAGTGACATATATGTAAAAATTGAATTATAGGCGTTATATATGTAAATACATGGAAATTGAGTGGTCTGTATATAAATCTTTCTTTTATTTATTGAAAATTATTTTGTTGCTCTACTCTCATATATAGGAACATTGTGTCAGCATATTGTAATCAATTTGATTAAACAAAAAAACCGAACAGAATGGAAAGAAATAGAGAGAAACCCCTCATATGTGAGATATCCTTCTCTGCAATTTTTTTTTAAGATCAAAATATCCTCAATAATGAGGATACGTTACAATTATAAGAAATTGTGACAATAAGAGCGAAAAATTTGTGAGGCATTTTGCAATTGGATAGAAGGAGACATTGCTGTTGGCATTCTTTCAACTAATTCATACATTATTACTGCATGAATGTCAAAGATTCCACATCATATTTGGTAGTTTCATCAAATACTTCTAGTTCAACAGCAATTAATTGACTTCGAAGATGCTGCAAAGGAACTTGACAAGGAGTTTCATGATGACAAGGCAGTAGTCAAAGATGCTATTGGGTTTGTAAAAATTATTTTGACATCAACATGGAGATTAGATAAGTTGAAGGCTTATTTGAGAATGATACATTGAAAGGCTTATTTGAGATAAACTTTTAGTTTCATCAAAAGGCGAACTTTGGAGTACCAAAAGGTAAAAGGGAATGAAGAAGCTAAAATTGGCTAGAATATTGTGGATAATTTTTTTCAATTTGCTTTATTCAATCAAAGATATAAGTGCATCTTCAAAATGGGAGGACTGGATCACTTTTTGAAGATAGCCAAGAAGATGGATGTATTCTAGAAAAGTGCTCTACAAGGGAGATTTTTGAGTATTATATTTCTCATTTACGAGAGAAGACAAAATTAACGGCACGCTAAAGAGATGAAGAGAAGGCTAAAAAAGTGAGAAAGAGAGAAGAAATGGGAATGATGGAGAAAGATAGAGAACATGTATAGGACAAAGTGAAGAAACGATCAAGAAGGGATGATTTAGAAAGTGAAGACATTGATGCCACCAAATACATAGAATGGTGCATAGGAAGCAAGAAAAAGACCAAGGATAAAATGCATAGAAAACATCATCGCAATGCAGGATATGTAAACTATGAGCAAGATGAGAAAGAAGTATCTAAGAAGTCAAGAACGCATAGTAATGACAAGAAGGAATCTTGAAGGCATGGTTATGGTACTGATTCTAATAGCAAAAATCGTCACAATAGATAAGAAAGAGTTGGATCCGCAAAAATGTTGTCTATGAGGATCTTGAAGATGGGGGAGATCGTATAGGATGGAGAAATCTATTAGGTTTCACCATATATGGATTTCATCATTTAATTATATTTGTAACTGCCTTTAATGTATAGACTTGTTATTCAATGATCTTATTAGTTATAGCAAATAATATTTTACCATGTGAAGTTCCTCTTTTTGATGGAGCTTCCATCTTTTGTTTTATTTTTTTGAACCTTTTTTCTATTGATTTTTTTTTTGTTTTTCCAGTCTTTATTTTTCCCTTGTTAGAGTGATCACGAGACACAGCTTGAGCCCTATGTACCTTCTATGTATCATGCAAATATGCAATTGGTTATAATTTCATCATCTATTCCACACTTATTTGTTATTAAACCTAAGGAAAGGTCTCAAAGATTGATTAGACATGGAAGTGATGGGAAGGATTGTGCTTTTTTGCTAAAGGGCCATGAGATTTACAGTAGGATGAATGTCATGCAGCTAGCTGAGTTGGATAATACTATTCTAATGAATTTGAGAAAAAAAACTGATGAATTGGATATCTCATAAAAGAGGAATTTGCCTCTTTGTTTCTCTGAAACTCTCCTTAGTTCTACGAGTTGCTTTCTTTTTTCGCAAAGGATATAATTGACTTATATTTCTCTCTATTTTTGCTTGGTCTTGTTGCTTTTGCTTAACTCCCATTGTTGCTATTATCTCTCGCCTAGGAGGACTTTTCCCTATGTTTCTCTCAATTCAACTTGGTTTTGTTTCTTTCACAAAGTAATGTGTTTTAATTTCATGCATGTTGTTATAGTTGTGTGCTATTATAATTCATGTCTTTTTTGGCTGTTGGAGCTTTCTTATGGACTTTTTTGTTTTGTTTTCATCTCTTTTAAAGTCCTATTTCATGATTCGCTAGGTTGATTTATTTTATTAAAAATGTTTTGTTTTCCCCTTTACCAGTAAGTTGAATCAATCCAAAGAGGAAGATTGAAGAAACAGAAAGAGAGCTTAAAGAGAAGTTTTGGAATTTTGATAGAATGAATGTCATACTTAACCTCTAATCCCTTATTTTTAGGTTTGGATTGAGGTACAATGTTATAAGAAAGCCTCTATACAAGTAAATTATATAGCAAGGCTTAACAAGTATTTGTTGTAAAAAGAATATGTTTCGCTAGCTTGTTATATGCACAAAACATACAAAGAACTCTTGATTAGCTCAAAGAAGATGCGATTTTTGTGAATTTTGATGAAGCATCAGTGACTTCATTTTGGGTTGGCAAATAGCTTTGGTATACTTGGGCAAGTTTATTTATCAAACTCTTCATCATTAGGCAAGTAGCATTTTACGACTTCATTTGATGAATTCATGGGCAAATATTACTTTATTTTGATGGCTTCAAATAATAAATGTTGAGTTAAAAGCGACTAACGGAATAGCTTTTTTAGGCAACTTGTTTTAATTGATGAAGACCTGCTGAACCTGCTTCATAATAATAATATGGAATAGTTTAATTTGGCCAAGATGATATTGGGTGTAGATACACGTTATTAAGTTTGTCGTTCAATTAATTTTAGTGTATAACAGTTTCTATTGTGCTACAAGTTTGGATAAACTTTTAGAAAGAGGATTTTTCCTTTGGAAAAGCTTGTCATATTTCATTTGAAGGCTATTATTGTATCAGTTTTTCCTTTGGAACTTGTCATATTTCATTTGAAGGCTATTATTGTATCAAACTGTGTGGCCTGCAAATAATATAGACCAAGTTCATCTTGAACTAGGTTTCCTGTGGAAATATTTTTCAAGGAGCTAAAATTCAGGTTGTTAGGTACAACTCTATGTATAATGTAGTACTGAAGTTTGAGGTTATTAGAAACGATTGCATCCTTTTATAATGGGATTTTGGTTGTCTACTGTGTCATATTGCCATATATTGTGATACAAAAAATCATTTATGCTTAACTTCTGTTGGGACACCAATTGAAGTTGGTGTTGCTGAACACAGTGGGTTATTACAACATTCGATTCATTATTATTATTTTCTTAATATCAGCAACATGGACAAAGGAACCGGGTTTTTCGAGCTTCCAAAAGATTTGCTAGTACAGATGTGGAAAAAAGATCCTCGAGCAGCTTCTTTAGTTGGCTTACCGGCGAAAAGTCTAACCAGCTTCCCCCTTTAGATTATCCACTACCAGCCGTTTCACTGCCTCCGCCACTTCCTGATTATGTGGAGCCTGGCAAGACAAAGATCACTACTCTTCCAAATGGCGTTAAAATTGCCTCTGAAACTTCTCCAGTATGATTTACTGCTAGTTTTCAGTAGCTGTTAGTATGTTAATGTATATTGTAGCTATCAGTCTTTCAACTTATTTTGTTTGATTTCAGAATCCAGCAGCTTCAATAGGACTGTATGTTGATTGTGGATCAGTATATGAATCACCAAATTCTTTTGGAGTTACTCATTTGTTGGAACGTTTGGCCTTTAAGAGCACAACCAATAGGAGCCATCTCCGCATTGTGCGCGAAGTAGAAGCCATTGGAGGAAATGTCAGCGCTTCAGCATCCCGTGAGCAAATGGGATATACTTTTGATGCTTTAAAAACATACTTGCCAGAAATGGTTGAGGTGCTTATTGATAGTGTCAGAAATCCCATTTTCCTTGATTGGGAGGTTGATGAACAGGTATAGTTTTTGTGATTAGCCTAGTACCACTTTTTTGTTAGTTATTCATATTACTCTATTACTTGCTGAGAAAAGTGTCAAAATGGACCCTGACTTTTTATCAGGGGTCACTTTAGACCAAAGTTTATGTATGTGTCAATTTATTCCCCATACTCTTTTAAAGGGGGTTAATATAGTCTCTTGGGACTATTTCAACCCATATTATAAAATGAACCGTGACTTTTTATCAGGGGTCACTTTAGTACCAAAGTTTATGCATGTGTCAATTTAGTCCCCATACTCTTTTAAAGGGGGCTAATATAGTCTCTTGGGACTATTTCAACCCATATTAAAATAATTTTGGGACTAATTTGACACTTTTAACCTCTTGTAATAGTCAGGAAACTATTTTGACACTTTACTCGTTACTTCCTGCTGTACAGGTAAAGAAAGTAAAGTTAGAGATAGCAGAAGCTTCGAACAACCCACAGGGTCTGCTTTTGGAGGCTATACACTCTGCCGGATATAGTGGTGCATTAGCAATTCCACTTTTGGCTTCCGAATCATCCTTGAATTTAATAAATAGCAGTGTTCTTGAACAATTTGTTGCTGTAAGTTCACACTTAATTGTTATTATTTTTTTTTCATTATGTTTAGTTTGTGCTTTCCATTGACCTATGTACTGAAGTTTTCTCCTTCTGGATACACAGGAAAACTATACTGCCCCAAGGATGGTACTTGCTGCATCTGGTGTGGAACACGAGGAATTAGTTAAACTTGCCGAACCACTTCTATTGAATCTTCCCAAGGTTAATCGCCCAGAGGAGCCAAAATCTCTCTATGTTGGAGGGGATTATCGGTGTCAAGCTGATTCTGCGGTGCCTATGATAATTTGTTGTTGAATTTATGTTTTTTTATTTTTTTTTACATAGAGCTTTTGATTTTTATATTTTTTGTCAAACTTTCTTTTGCTCAACAGAGTACACAACTTGCTATTGCTTTTGAAGTTCCTGGTGGCTGGCATAAGGAAAAGGATGCCATGGCTGTGACAGTACTTCAGGTTTTAATGAGTTTTATTCCAAGCAGTTTACTGCAGAATTTATGCATAGTTTCATGTTGCTTTTGTGATTCATGTTGGTGCTCATTTATTATCTCTGTAGAAATAGAAGAACCAATTTTTTCTTTATTTTATTTTTTTAATTTTTTTGCAGATGCTTATGGGAGGTGGTGGCTCTTTTTCTGCTGGAGGGCCTGGAAAGGGGATGTACTCTCGTCTATGTGAGTTAATTTTATGCTGGTTTGTAACTTCTTGCACTGCTTTGGCAATAGTTTGTTGTTAGCTTTTTACCTTCTTTGATTATATTTACATGTGAGGTAAGGTTTATACTGAGATTATCTATAGAGATTTTTTTTTTCTATTAATAAAATTGGCTGGTTAATATACAGATCTCCGTGTATTAAATGAATATCAACAGATTCAGTCATTCTCAGCTTTCAATAGTATCTACAATAATACTGGCATTTTTGGAATCCATGCAGCAACTGTAAGACCCTGTATTCCTCATTTTTGATGTCTTTTGCTTGTGAAATATTCTTATTTTTCAATTGAGAAGAGTACGTACATTCTACTTAGGTGCTGTTTAGTTTACTGGAAAAAATGAATGCAGTGTTAAAGTAATATATTGTATTTGGAATGTTTTAGAGTTTTTTGGATTTTGCATCTTCTTGTTTGGTTTGAAGAAAATAAATTCATTGTAAAATAAACTCGTTAAGGGCGGTGGCTAGCGGGAAACGGTTGACAGCCGGTGGTGGCTAGGAGGGTGCGGCGTCAATTTATACAAAACATCTTATTTGGAATTCGCCCAAATCCAATGAATTCCAAAGACATTTAGAATGAACTAGAGAGTGGATTCCGAATACATTGAAATTTTACGGTGCATTTTTTTTTCTTCTGACTAAGCACTTGAATTTTAAAACCCCTGCAAAAAGAACACAATGCCACCTTTTATTGTCGACCAAATTGCCCTTGAAATATTCTTTGTTCATCTACCCATCACGATACCAGAAGAAACCAAAACTTCAACGAAAAACAAATATTATTGTTGAAATTGAAAGGATTGCAGACCCGACGCTTGAAAACATGAAATAACGACAACAAAACAACAAAATAAATATAAAGACATAACACATACTCCAATAAGGATTACAGTAGCAAGTAGATCTGATGGAGGGGGTACAACAACTGTTGGACTGCTTGTGACGGGCTGCTGCAACTGCAAAGTTGGGAAGAGGTGGAAACGGCTATAGCAGGATGGGGGAAGGCCTGAGAGGGTTGTAGTCAGGTTTGGATGGGTTGGGAGGCTTGTGGAAGGTTCTGGAAGGGCTGGAGGGAGTTCAATGGTGAGGGCAGGAAGCTGGCAAGTGGTAAGACAGAGTGGCTAGCAGCAGGAAGGGGGTCGGAGGATTGCAGAAAGATAAATGTCTCGTCGGGCTTGTCGGGCTTGAGCTACAGTTGGAGCACCATTCGAACCCTTGGAGACGGTCATCACCTCGGATGAGTTACGGTCGGAGCACCTTCTCGTCGTTAGATCAGCCCCCAGAGGACAAGAACGCCCAAGGACAGTAATTGAAATCAACAATCATCAAAAACCTCTCTTCCTAAGCAAGAAATAGCCCCTATATATAAGAGGGATTAAAATTTATATTAGACAATGCTTTCAATTAAAAAATATATTAAAAAGGAAGTAATATAATAGACAAGGATTATAATAGAGGATTTCATGGAAAATGAAACAAATTTTAGGAGTTAGGAAAGAAAAGGGGGGAGAAGGATTAGACCGCCGTTACTATAGCTGCTACAGTAACACTTCCGTGGCACATTAGCTGCCACAGTGTCACTATCTGGGGAAGCTCCTGCGTCATATCATCCATGCAAAAAAATGAACTAGCTCATGCCATGATTAAATAGTTATTAATTTAATGAAAGCATTCGGAAAAAAAGAATCCCTTTTCGAGCTTTAGGGTCAAGTTTATGTTTGTTGTTAGCATGAGTGTGAACCATGGAAGGGCAACCTAAGACCATTAATGGGATTACAAAGAAAGATCATGCGTGGGGTTACGTTTTTTGAAGATTGGTTAAAGGTATGCCAAAATTGAGGACCTGTAGTCGTATTTTGTTTATTAATTTAAAGACAATAAGAGCATCATCACTTGGAGGTATTTTGATAAATTATACGTAAAGGTGATGGCTCTATCTACTAGGTGGTGGTATTCTTTCTTTCAATTCCATTTTGTTAAGGGGTGTTATTATGCAAGAGTTTTAGTGTACGATGTGATTGTCAAAAAAAAAAAAAATCTTAGATGGATGTGAAATATTATGTATATTCATCTACTATGACAATTATAAAATTCACATTAATTTAAGTTTTAATCATAGAATGAAAATTTTTTAAAACTTGTATTGCTTCATTTTTTTTTTAATCTCGGGAAACAAACTTGTGTGTGATCATCAATAAATATGATAAACCATCTTTTTCCCATTATGTATTTAGCTCGTAAGGTACCCTTCATATTGGCTTTTCTGTTCATTAATGTGACAGTTCTGTTCATATTTGACTGTAATTTTGGGAAGGAAAAGTAAAATGAACTTGCTTGGTTAGTTTGCAAATTTCACATTGAAAGATATTACTATTAAAAATTAACAACGGGAAGATGATTTGCAAATATGAAAAACTCGAGTGGTTAAACTTATAGTGCCTGTCAACACTATTTTGGTTTAAGGAGTTGCCCGTTGGAAGCTGTTGACTGTCAGAATCGAAATTCCGTAGCCCGCTTCAGAAAAATGTTTAATATATATATATATATACATATATATATAACATAAAAATAATAAAATATATATATATACATATATATAACTTTTGAAAAATATAAAATCAAACTGATCCCATATCTTCCATAGTTCAAATGAAAAAGCACTTCACCTCAAGTCATGTATCTATCCCAAAACAGGCTAACTTCAATTTTAGTTTCCTGTAGGTGCATCTTGGTTCTTGATTTGCATTAAAGATTTTAGTGTTGAAGAACAACTTTTTTATTAATCCACGCATGGGGTTCTACTTATTCTTTCTTATTTCCGGTCCTGTCATATTAGTTATGAAGTAAATATTGGATTTTCTACGTCAATAAAATGATAAATTCATATTCATGGAAGAGTTACAAGAGCATCATCTCCCTTCCAAAACTCAAGGAGAGGAGAAAAAAAAAAGAATTAGATAATTCTGTTTTAAAATTTTAGTTTTAATATAAAGCATAAGTTCATGTTACTCTTTTTTGGGCCAAACTTTAAATTCTTTTATGTAAACCTGGGCATCTTTTAATTTGCACTTTGCACAATGCTTATTTGGAATTTTAATTCTAAATTAGAGTTCAGATTTTGTTTCGGAAGCTGTAGATTTAGCAGCCAGGGAATTGCTTGCTGTTGCAACTCCTGGACAAGGTTTGTGCTCCTTTCATCTTATTGTTCATGTTAATGCATCCGAAGGCTTTGTCAAATCCAACTATTTTCTTTTCCAGTTAGTCAGGTTGAATTAGATCGTGCTAAACAGGCAACGAAATCGGCAGTTTTGATGAATCTGGAGTCTAGAGTATGTGTTTCATGATATTTTCTGAACTTTCAAATTGTTTCAAATAACTGCTTCTCAGTTAGCTTCTAGTTACTTATTGCAACAAATACTGCAGATGGTAGCATCAGAAGACATAGGGAGGCAGATTTTGACATATGGAGAAAGGTATGCCTTTATTTAGTGAACATTATGTTGATCAAGAAATTTGCTGGTGTTTGGTATGATATATCGTCTAAAGAAAAATCATGGTAATTGATAATTTTGTAATTTTAGTCTTCTGAACGTGTTTTCCTCAATGAATGGTCCTGATCATAAAGGATACTACTAAAAAATCAACAATTTTACAAACAGCAATGCTAGGTTTTTATGTACTTATCATCATAATCATCATTTTCATCATTAGACTTATGCCATGTATTTGGGATTGGTTTTATGAATCTACATCATCTATTAAATTTTGTTGGTTGTTTCTTCAGTTGTTAAATCTATTTTGCTTATATTTTTTTTTAGTAACTCTGTCTTTGATGCTTTTGGTTTACTCCTAACCCTGTGGCAGTAGTTTTATCAACTTCCCTTATTAGTTTTTCCTACTCTTTGTTGTAAAAACCTAATTGATGTGGAACACCGCGTGATTATCATTTATTACATCTTGTTACTTTACATTTCATATTTTCTTTATGCTTTTTTTTTTCCATACGATAAGGGCATGCTTGTCCTTTATTTGTTAGGAGTGATTTAGTTGTAAATTCTTATATGGTGATTTTGTTGTTTTGAATACTGAGTCTCCTATATCCTTTTTTTTTCCCTCCCCTTTTTCTATGAATTATATTTTTCTTGGTAGATTAATATTATCCATCTCTCTCATCAATTCTTCATTCTCTCTGGAGGCACCATCAATTGTAAAATGCTTCCACTTTCGCATTAGTTGGTTCTAGGGCCAAAAATAATTGCTTTGATCACACTACATAATTCACTAAAAATCTATTATTTACTCTCAATTTTTTGCCTTCCCACTCACAAATTATATTGTGTTGGAAAGTGCCAATCCGCATGCGGGCTTAGGATGGAATTTTTTTCCTTCCTTTAGAATAGATTTCACTAATTGTGTTTCTTTTTTATTAGATATTTCCTATTTTCTATTATTCCTATTTTTCCTATTTGGTGGGATTACTATTTTTTTCCTTATATATATATATATATATATATTGTAAGGTGTAGTGCATTGAACTAGCCAGAAATAAAACTATTTGGCAGATTTCTACATGGTATTTGATTTGCCATCCTAATTCGTTCACATTTACCGTCATTGTCTTGTTTTACTTATTTCTACCATCCTCTGAATCAAGTGCCGAGGCGTCCTTTGTTTTGATTGTTTATCTACGTCTTCAGCTACCGCTCTGAGCCAACCTCCCCACCTTTCACAACGACCGATCCCTAGGATTTTTCAACTTTGTCTTTGGCGTATCCAATGATGCTGTTTTCGACTTATCTAGCGACAACAATCTTCCTCTGCGTTCACACAAGTCGCATACGGCATGGACGGCGTTGGTCCTCTATGTTACAAGAGATTGCAGAACAGTGATTTAGCTTCTGCGATCAAATTCTGCTGATCATTCGAACATTCTGTTCAATTTTTTGTATATTGTTTCTTCCTTTGGTTCGCTAAAACAGCGATCTGTCATCAATTCTAGTATTTAACTCGCCATAGACACTCTTCATGAATTGCCGACTTATAAATCGTCTTTCTGAACTCATGGAAATTGAGGCTATTCACCTCCCTCTAGTTTCTGTTTGCTCATCCAGTTGAGCACTCTAACTAATAGTCTTCTCTCTAATTCTATTCTCTTGTCCAGTCGAACAGTCAAACTAAGATTTGTCTCATTTTTGTTTGTGCAACAGGTCTTCTCAATTTGGGCCATAGTCACTCTCTCTAGTTCTTCGTTGGAAGCATATCGATAGCCAATGCCAGATCTTCTGTCCCTTTTTCACCTGAGAACTCTCAGCCAATCACGTATCATTAATTATATTGTCATAATTTTCTTCAATGGTCACAATCTGTTTTCACGTACATCTGTGGCAGTGGGAAAGATTGACATCTCACAAGCAAAATTTCGGCTCAAGAAATGACAGTTTCTAAATATCGGGCCTAAAATATTGACGATCACATAGTTATGTTATGATTAATAAATTTCATGACCATAGAAGTTGGAGAAAACTTTCTACTTTATAGTACAATCAAAGAGATATGAGAGGTTGCATGTGAAACCTGTTATAATATTGAAAACTCCTCAAAGTTATTTGTGGTTGAGACAAGACTACATCATCTATGATATGGAGAATTGAGCCTCACTCAACATTTCAATACTCTCACACTATTGGCTGCAATTTGATATATATGAGATTTATCTTTGGAAATATTCTGACAAATCTACATCATCTAGTAAACCACATTTTCATTCTGGAGGCCTTTGCCGAAGTTGAAGGTAGAAGGACAGAAAGAAGTGGATGATGAGAGACAATCATATCACATAATCTGTTGAAGGATAAGTCTTGTATACTCAAAATACCTCTTAAATAGTAAGTCCAGAAAGGACAGCCATGGTGTGATCTTTGTATGAAACTTGGTTATGTGAAGGAATTTTTTTTAACTTACACAGTAAGCTTCAAATGGGAAGCCATCTAATTAAATATATGAGAGAGAGAATCATGCAAATGTTTTTTTTGCAACTAGCAACAATTTAGAGTTCAGCCCGTTCATCTGGGAGTAAATTGAGATACTGCAGAAAATATTTAGTAATAGTCTAGTTTTGGACAAGTATCACAATTCTTTGCCGAGCAACCTATCAGCCTGTTAGCACACCAAGGTATCTTATCCCTTACTTTTAGTGTCCAAAGTAATAAATTAAAACCTTGGATAGTCAACTCCAAAGCCTCAGGTCACATGACGGGTAGGGGTGTGCGCTGTTTGGATAAATCCAAAAAACTAAACCGAACTGAGCCGTTTTATTTTTTCTCAAAATTATTTTTTTTCAGTTGAAACACAAGCACTACTTAAACCACATTTATTATGCCATCATCAATAAATAACTCATTAATTCTACTGACTTAATGATTTTATGTGATCATGTAAATGTTAACTTATTGGTCGATTCTCTTGTAATAAAATTCTTTGCTGCTTTGGTTGAACTTTGACAAATCTACTACTCTTGGCAGGAAGCCTATCGATCATTTTCTTAAAGCTGTTGAAGAGGTTACTCTCCATGACATTGCTTCTCTTTCTGAAAAGATAATCTCTTCTCCTCTCACATTTACCTCCTGGGGTGACGGTATGTTCTCATTTCAGATAAACATGATTTAGCCTTCTACAGTTCATACATACATACATGCATACATACATACATACATACATACATACATATATATATATTTCTTTATTTACAGATTATTAAATATGTTCCAGAATCATTTTATTTACTCTGATGTTCTCTCTCTCTCTCTCTCTCTCTCTCTCTCTCTCTAGTTGTTCATGTGCCCAGTTATGAATCAGTGAGCGGAAGGTTCAACTCCAAATGAGAAATTTTCTGCGAGTAAGCAAATGTTGTTTTTTCTAAAAAATTTTGCATATTTTGAGCTGCCTTTATTTATTGCCCAGCATCTGAATTGGTCTCCACTAAATGAAATATTTATTGAAAGAATAAGTTATAGGTTAGCTGAGATCTCAAAATACTTTTATTCAGCATAACATTGGGATACGCCAATATTCTTCTTTAAATGGAAATTCAAATTGCAAAACTTGTGTTATTTCATTGTTTTTTATTTTATAAACCAAAATCTCTCGTTTTTCTCGCTGAGGTTGAGCTTGTCATTTTCTTTATGTGAAGGTGTTATTTTGAAATTTGATGTGATTTCATGTCGAGAGTTTATGTTAAAAGTAAATTCTTGTGGTAATGTTTGAACAAATTTTAAATATTAAATCCAATGTTATTGTCATTCTAAATACATTAAATTGCTGTCATTATTTATAAAATATTGAAGTTTGTTTTTTTAATCAAAATAACATTAGATTTTGCTACTGGTGCTGTTTAGTTGTAAGAAGATTCACGTTTTTTAGTAGTTTAAAGCAGGAATGAATGTATTTTGTAGTAGGGATAAGTGCATAAATACCACTTAAAACGTAGTTATTTACAAAGTTTGTGCTCACTTGAAGCATTTATGAAAAATATGGTTTGGGGTTTTATGATAAATTTTGAAATTTGAGTGAGATATGAAAGAATTGATGCGATGGTGCTATTCTTTTTGACATGATTCGAGTGCTATGTAAATATTGTTATTTATAAAACTCTTCAAGTTGCTTTTAAAATAAATGCAAGTGGATTGATTTTGTTGTTTGATTGGTTGTAGTATAGAATATTATTTACCATTAAAATGAAGTGATAAAATTATGTCATTTTTTGATAAAAGAAATGCATAAAATTAAGTGTTGTTGAGATGAGAATGGTTAGGTGGATGAGTGGCTTTACACTTTAGAGACAAAATGTGAAATGTGAAATAAATATATCCATGATTATATCCATGATAGAGTTGGTGTAACTCCTGTGGCAGACAAACTTAGAGAGAGCCGTCTTAGATGGTTTGGTCACATTAAGCATCGACCATCTGATGATCTGGTTAGGAGAGTAGATGTTTATGTTAAGAAAGGTAGAGGCATGCCTAGAAAGATTTGCGCATATTGTATAAAAAATGATCTTAATTTATTAGAATTAAATGAAAATATGACATTCAATAAGACATAATGGAGAAAAAGGATTCATATAGCCAACCCCACTTAGTGGGATAAAGGCTTGTTGTTGTTGTTGTATGAAAACATTCAATAGCTGAGCTACTTAAATGTTTATGATCATATCTTGAATCTCATCAAAGTAGAAATTATGAAGTTATAGAATAGTTGATTTATTTTATCAATTTAACCATGAATAAAACAACAAACCTTTATCCCACTATATGGGGTTCGCTAAATGAATTCTTTTGCTCCATTTAGTTCTATTGAGTATCATATATTCATTTAATTGTAGTAAATTAAGATAATTTTTATACAATGTTCCCGAGTCATTTTAGGTTTACCTCTATCTTTCTTAGCATAAGTCAAATTTATAACATGTATTCTCTTAACTGGGTCAACAGATGGTCGGAGTTTAATGTGACCATATCATTTAGGACGACACTCTCTAATCTTATCTGCCATTGGAGCTACTCCAACCCTTTCACATGTTTATTCATTTCACATTTTATCTCCAAGTGTAATGCCACCCAGCCACCGGAGGATTCTCATTTCAACAACACTTAATTTGATATTATTCTTCTCTTTTATAGGCCGACATTTTATTCTATAAAACAGTAAGATCTTGCCACTATTTCAACAATTGTTTTCTATCACACAATAGGCTCGATGCATTCCTCCATTTCTACCATCCAACTTGAATTCTACTAATAACATCCTCATCTATATTACCATCGCTTTGAATAATAAACCTGAGATACCTAAAACGTTCACTCTTTTTAATGACTTTATCACTCATTGCTGCAACTCTGCTATTACCCTAGATCTACTATTACTCAAATTACATTTAATGTATTCAATATTATATTTACTTAAAAGAAAGCATTTAGATTCTAAATTTGACTTTCATAATTCAAGTTCTTCTTGAATTCTCTCTCGTATGATCTGCAAGAAGGATATTATCAGCGAAAAGCATTCACCAAGGGACATCCTCCTGGACATCCTCCTGTAAATGGTAAATGTCCAGTATAACTTAAATAAAAAGATATGGGCTTAAAGCTGATTCTTGATATAGTCCAATTGAAATGGAAAAATACTTGGTAAATCCTCTATGTTCAAACACAAATAATAACTCTAGTATTACATATCTTTAATGATTTAAATGTAAGCAATATCAATATCTTTCTTTTCTAGAACTCTCTAAAGTACTCTTAGAATCCTATCTTAAGCTTTTTTAAATCAACAAAAATCATATATAGATTTTCCTTACTCTTTCTGCACTTCTCCAGTAAACCTCTCAATAAAAGTTTAACTTTCATTGTAGACTTGCCTCACATGAATCCAAATTAATATTGAGAAATTTTGGTAGCATATTGTAATCTGTATCTAATTACACTTTCCCATAACTTTAATGTATGAGACATTAAGTTAGTTCTTCTATAATTTGCATTCTTATTCATACCCTTTATTCTAAAAAATAGGAACTCGTAGACTCTTTTTCTAGTGTTTGGATATTTTCTTAGTTTTTAAAATAAAATTAAAAAATTTAGTAAATCAAGAAATTTTCCTATCTAAACATTTAAACTTTTTTTTGGAATATCATTACATTCTATTGTAGATTCTACTGTCTTTCACATTTTATTTCTTTAAAATTTCATCAACTTTTGTTTTACTAATGTGCGGTAGAAATAAAATTTTTTCGTTATTATTATGGTGTTATGATCACTAAAATTGATCTGATTTTAACAACATTTATTGAAATGTTTGTCAAAACATATCACATATCTATTTTGATCATCTTTATATAATTTTTTTTTTAATTTTCATTTTTAACACTAATTTTCATTTTTAAAATTCATTTTAAACGCTAAGCAAATGAGCCGAACACAAATATATTTTTTGAGCTCGAAATATAAACGAGCCAAACACGAGCCTCGTGTTCGACTCGTTTACACCCCTAGCTATGCATCTTTATAGTCTGAAGCACCTCTCATTTGCATCACTATACTCATCACATTAATTGTAAAAAAAGTAACAACTCAAATTGTTTCTTACCCCATTGAATGTTCCCTCTTCCTAGTTTTAAAAATTGATATATTGTTGTATTGAAGAGGTTCTATTTATCCACAAAATATCAATTAGTATCATTTAATCATAACAAATATTGATTATATCATATTAAATGTGTTCTCGTGTGTGTGTATATATATAATATATGTGTGTGTGCGCGTGCAACAGGTGGTCTGTTTCGGGTTCAAATTCATCTTGATTGAATTAGCACATATGACGGTGGACATGCACATATTGCCGTCCATCTTTCTAAAAAAGTTATATTTGTGTGTATCTAAACAAAATGATAATATCAATTAGTAACTAACATCCTTGTCTCCTCACTTTGCACGTTTCCTTTTGCTCACTCGATTTCTGAAAGTGAAATCATTACCATGTATTTGTTATAATCCATAGATATGAGAGGCTATAAGGATGCATAATGTCAAGGTTTCTATTGTAAGGTAATGATTACACTTCATAAATAACCACAAAATCATTCTTAAAAGAATCAAATCTATATTTTACATAGGTTCATAATGATGAATATAAAAAATTAAGGGCTTATTTGGGATTATTATTATTTTTTTATTTTTGTCTTATTGTAATTTATTGCATATTTTTTTTGTGGAAAAAAAATAAATTAATTTATTTTTAAAAATTTTCAATAAATAAAAAAAAAAGTTTTGAATAGTTTTTAAAATAAGTTAAAACATGTTATAGCATTTCAAAAACATTTTTTTTAAGTAAAAAAAAAAACATAAAATTAATGTTACATATCTTGTTATATTTTATATCTTGAATGTCATTGAACTCTTTTAGATGCTACTTTATGGTGTAGCGCATACTTCTTATGTGTATGCATACACCTAAACTTTCATATCTACGTACATGATACTTTGGTGCTTTAAACTTATTGTTGAAAATGTAAATTTAACTTTTTTCAAAAGTAACAATTAAAGATTTGAATGTTGTGCGGAAGTAACAATAGTGTTTTCAAAAAGTTGCAATTGGTATTACAAGTTTATTTTATTTTGAGAAAATCAGAGCGGAGCTTTTAAGCAGCTGTCACACTTAGGGTTTGTTTGGGGCAGCTTGTGCATTTCAGAATAAGCGGTCTGCGTTTAGTGTAAAAAACTCAAACGCGACAGACAACGTTTTCAAAAAAGCTCAAACCTAATGGTTATGCGGCGTTTTAAAAAACGCAGCCGCACTTATAATCTACCCCAAACGGGCCCTAAGTGTGACAATGCAAAAAACTTAATTTTACAAAGCCTGAGTGCTGTGAGACAATGCACTGCTGCCTTAAACACGTAGAAAATTTATCATTCCCTTCCGATCGCAAATTATTATATATTTTTTAATCAAATTATTAATATCAATAAAAAATATTTTATCAATTAGGTATGAAGGAGTGTCTTGTGTTCTTGTTGGGATTTTTATGGCAGTGGCATGCTTATGCAAACAATATTTATAATCACTATTTAAATTCTATAATGCACAAATCAAATATATTAAAAAAATTAGTAATATAATAATATTTTTTTTTATCAATTTAGTATATAATAATCTAATTTAGAATATTTTTTAAAATATTTTAAAAATAATTTTAAATTAAAATTTTGGAATATGATATTTTATTTTTCCCATTTTTATTCTTAGTCATATGAACCAAAATATCATTTTTTTTTCTATAAAATATTATAATTGCTTACATTACAAGCTGAAGCAGTTTCACATGAAATCGCTTTCACACCTTTTTTTTT